TTTACGTGTTGTGTGAATACATTTAACTCATCATCTCCATGAACTTCCCTGCGAAAAGGTTTTTGCCATACAAAGGAAATTCCTGAAGTCTTGACTTGACTCCCTCATAGGGAATGTTCATGGCATCTAAAGTGTTGGATCTACATGCAGAAGTGGACAGAATGGAGATCCGAACAAACTGCTCGAAGATAGAGTTGACATTCTCATTGAACATTTGAACTGTGACAGCTGCAAGGTCTGTAGTATCTGGTGAATCTTTGTCACACGCACGGGCCAAATACACAGAGAGGAGTGCCGTAAACGCAGTGCAGCGAAGGCCATTTCGTGAGGCCTTGTCGAGTTTAGCAAGAGTAGACTCGACAAAACACTTGTCCTTGTCTTTAAATGGAGACTTTCCTGTAGGCTTGTGAGTGTCAGAGGAAAGTTTATCTTTAGCCTCCGTTAGAATCTCAGGGACAGAGTTACCAAAGGGAAGTTATCAAAGTCCTCCCTAGCAAACTGGAAATAAGTCGAGGCCCTGGGTGGGTATGGACGCCATTTTTTTGGCATTGGCGAGAACTTTAAACATCTCGACGCATGAGCGGACACGTGGAAGTTCGGGAAAAATTACCGTTGACGCCTCCAACCTAGCGGGGTGGCGCTTGAAGGAAACATGTGAAGAGGCCTCCGCCTTAGGTTGATTGGAAGGCAGGCCTAATATGTGGATCATATCCTTCTGAAGAAGACAGAGCCGTGCCTCAGGAGGGTTAATTAAGGTCGGCTGCAGAGGAGATATCCTCATTTTCAGAGGACGTATCCTGCTCCATCCGCAGTTGATCCGAGAAAGGAGGAACGTCATCATGTCTTGTTGGGTGGCCAGGGGCTGGAGCAGGAGGTGAGCTGTATTCTGCGCCAGAACCTGGATAAGTTGAAGAGGCGAAACCATCATAAGAAGATCAGATTGCTGGCAGGTGAAGATGAAGGCAGGTTCGGATGCGGATCTGGATATGGATGTGGAGATCCGTATCACGTTGCAGATCCGTATCACGTTGCGCCGGCAAAGGGTCCGGATCTAGGGCTGTCACCACGGGAGCAGAGTTGGGATCTAGACGGTTGGCTATAGAAGAGAGCTTCTCCTAGAGCATGCGGACCGCTGACATGATGTCGGCCATTGCATCTTCCTTCTGTGAGGAGTGAGACTTCTTTTGCTAAGACCCCGTAGAAGAAGACGAAGAATGTTTGCGTTTCTTGCCTACCGGAGAACTGGTTGTAGAGCCAGCGGTCGACGCGTAGTGAATTGGAGTGTCGGAGGCCTGCCAAGACTGCAGTAAAGATACAGTAGGAGAGGGTTGGTGAACTTCAGAGGTAGAAGCAGTCTTCTCAGAAAGACCCAGAAGGTAGCCAGAAGAAAGGGTGGCATACAGGGGTCAAAAAACCTGACAGGGCAGGAGGCGGTGGGCTCTGTTGTCCCGGGCACATTCGGTGGTGAGCCTGCATGGCCCAGTATTGTTTCTGCAGGTACCACACAGGGGAACAGCGTTGTGGGCTGAGTTTGGGTGGCTTGTTCTCGTGTGTTCACGAACAGCATGATTTGTTGTTCGTGGGTCGGCCGCTCGAAAGCCGGGATTGTGCAACCCGTTATTGCTACTAGTTTGTAGCAAGTAACATGCAACATGGCAGCATCCTTGTGCATTCTTTGAGAGTTAATGGTTGGATAGCGAGTCATCTCAAATCTCGTCTGGGACAAGTTGAAGTAAAATTGTCGGGAGAGGAGAGTGAATACTTTCCCCACAGTTTCCCCCGCAAGTAGCAGTTCATTTATGGAGGGGAAGTTGTGGAGGAATTTTGCATCAGTAGGTCACTTACTATGAAGGACTGTTTACATTACTAGTGGGCTTGAAATAGGTGGTTACTATCTTAAGTGGTTTGCGATTTCCAGAGACTGACCTTGGGTCACTCAACACTCCATGATTTTTTGTCATGTGTTCAATACCTGTTGTAGATTGAATCAGATGGTTGTTTGGAAAAACAGACTTTGTCAGTCCCTCTGCTTATTTTGCATAGCTTTCCAGAAGAAAAAACCTGAAGCAGCTTTATATTTTATGAAAGGGTTGATGTATATTTATTCCAAATGACACAGTTAGAGAAGTTTCAAAAAGCTCTGAGTAAGGAGTGCAGTAATTTGCCAGTGGCTTGTCTGTCATCAAAACCACAAGTGTCCTTGAGTGGCCTGCCTGACCAAAACCACAGAGTGGGGGGGACGGAGACTGTGTATACAAATACTGCTAGCTTTATTTCGGGGAGATTGTGAGGAGATTTCCAGTTGCCTTCAACATTCCACCGCAACACTCTTCCACATTTTATCCTCAACTTATCCGGGACAAGATTTGAGATGACTCCTAAATAAACTGGGCTAACTTCTTCGTCTTAAAAAATTCATTTTTTTCATGGAAAGTTAGAATTGTTAATTTTGCAAAACTTTCCACTGTCTTTGTAAGTCATCTTGATAGTTTTGCGGCTTTTCAAAAATCAAATATCACAAGTTTTTCCGTGTTCGTGTAAAACCCTGACGAGGAGGTGGTGTGTGAACCTGAGAACAGTGTTCTTGGGTTGTGTTCCCTCCATTCGAGCGCGAGAACATGAAACCTGTGTTAAGAACAGGGCGCCCGAACTGACCGTGTTGTCCCATGGAGCGTCAGCGTCTTTGTCACGCCCGGGAGCCCCGGTTGAAGGGTGTCTGAAGACAATGGAACCAGGGGTGATGCGGCCGGTGTAGCTAGCGTTGGCAGCTACTTCTGAGCCATGCTGATGTCGGGTGTTGCTAACGGCAGGTTGTTGTCGGCCCGCGTCATCCGTTTGGAATGCTTAGGAACTGGGATGGAGGAGTGTTGCGCCCAGACCCAGCAAACGGGGGAAATTTTAACCCCAAGTGCAGCGCCACTCTGCACGCTCGTTGACTGCAATGCTTAGGTGTTACGTTGGGGAACTGAGCATACGGATATCACACACACTGCAGCTCAGGCCCTCCAAGTATGGCGTGAGCTAATCCTGAACTGAATCAAAGATGGTATTGAAAGCAGGGATTAGCCGTGGGATTACAAGTTTAGCAAGATGCCACTTGATCCTCCACAGACCGACTCCTGTCGGTCTAAGTTCCTCGCGAACCCCAACAAACCCGGGGTTGCCCCATTGACCCTATAAATATACCAAGGAAAAAGGGGGTCCGTGGTATTAGATCGCTCGCACTGGCTCACGGAACCCCCAACAATCCCAGGGTTGCCCTGTTGACCCTATGTATCGCTGGGTAGTACCCTCGTAGAGTCATCGATCTATAAAATGCACACACACAAAAAGAGAAAATATACCACCAAATCAAAAAATATACAGATAAATATAGAAAGTACGTTTATTACAATATGTTACAGTTTGATCAGAATGTCACAAAGGTGTGTAGTGAAACAGAAACCTCAATGAACTCTAAGATCTCAAAAAGACACGTCCATTTAGAATCACGCACACTAATCGCGTGTATTGGCTTACGACCTTAACACCTCGATCTTAATGTTGACCGACTCCTGTCGGGGGGGGGAGTTGAGGACCACTCAAAGTGTTAAGCCCTCAACTGTCCCTGGTCACTGAGTTGACCCCATGCGATATCGTTAGGTGATACTGCTGCATACGTAGAATCAAAATCAGTAACCTGCAAGCATGTACAAAGAAAAAAAGAGAAAAATACCACACAAAAACGACAAATGGCAGACACACAGACAGAAAATATGTATATGTAGAAGGACTACCATTCGTTGCTGATACGTTACAGTCACTCGGGGTACCACAAAAAGTCGAACAAAAACGGAAACTCAAAAAAGCCAAACGACACGTCCGTTATCAATGGCACTAAGAAAAGAAGGACGAACATGGCAGCTGCACCTCTATGCATTGTGGGAGCAGAGGGCGCACTACTAGTTGATCAAGTGTTTAGCAAATAAAATAAGCCGCAAAGGAATTTGCACATTTAGCAACTGTTTGGGCTAGGATGAAAGCAGTGGACTTCTGTCGTTGAACCAGCTTGTTACTTTTCTATAAAACCTTGCTGTAGTTTTAGCTCAGTGAGGATTTGGGACTGGGTGTGGGTTGTGTGAGGTTCTTTTCATTTTCTTAGTCATTAGCACATGTTCAAACTTTAGACCCAAAATCGGGTTGTCAAATGGTTTAACTTGACTGTTTTTTTAAATAACTTAAATTAACAGCTCATATGTAACTCTTCTGCATCGTAACTTTGGTATTTTTTGAAATTCTAGAGTGTACTATATCCTCCTCTAATATAAGCCCTTTGTGGCATGAAGTCTGAAATTCTCAAAGCAGTTATGCTGGAACTATGTTTGGAACTATATGAAATACTCTGGCAGCATATCTTGGTCTTGAGTATCATAGGAAGGGCTAAGGATTAAAAAACGACTTAAGAAATCACATGGCCATTGACTTTCATGAGTCATGTTGTCAACTGGAAAGATTTAAATGAAACAGAAGAAGGAACTGTTCTATTTTCAGGGCAACTCTTTGGTTCAGTTGTATGTAAGCTTTTGGCTTCAACTGTACACAAATTTCCAGCATGAACAGAAAAGTGATGTCATATTGAACCAGAAAATTAAGGCAAATTGAATAGACGCGTGTTGGTTCATGTGCTGGTTATCACACTAATGCCCTTCACAAACATAATTTTTTTATTGTGTGTGTCCTATTCACTTTGGTACTCTCTGGCACTGGAACTGCTTAAAAACCTTAGCAGAACTACTAAAAGCAGAACTTGGAAGCAACATCTGACTGAGATAAAGAGTCAGGAAAGGCCAATGCAGCAATGTCCTTGTGACCCTGGTGAGGCAGAATCGATTTGCATCTATATCTCATAAAAAAATATTTGAACATTTCAAGAAGCATTCTCTGAATAGCAAAACAATACTCAAACTGATAGTCAACCAGACAAAGATGCACGTCCAAATACAATTTAAAATCATACTTACTTGTAAGAATGCACAACAGAAACAGGTATTCAGTATATGAGATGATACCTACATGGGGTAAAAATCAATCAAAAAAGTACAAATCTCATTTCAGTGATACATGTACATGCATTTCACATGGGAAGAATATTTTCATCAAGCATTATGGTATACAAGCATAACTGGCTAGTGACACGAGGAAGGGGGCTCTACATCAAAAACAAATTGTCATTTGCAAAAGTTTAGGAGGACCCAAACAAAATGCAAGAACACCAGAGGAAAAACCAAACTTAAACCAATCAATTGTGGCAACTTATGTCTATTTTCAATGTATAACCTCAGTATCTTGGTTAACTTGAACAGCTACATTTCCATGATTTGAAATGTTAATATTTAGTGCGCCCTCCTTTATTTTTTATTACTTAGACTGGCTTTTTTTTACCCATGCTGCCTTACAGATAAAATGTCATACAAGACCTGTCTTTGCAAAAATTTCATTCAAATGGGTATATAGCACTACACTGATGTTATGTGCACCACTGTAAAAACAAGGTAATTAATCATTCAATGAGACAATGTAATACAGGCCAAGTGACAGAAATACCAATAAATTCCAGGTGGTCTTAAACTTTTGCAAATGACTGTAATTCAAATAAGTTAATTGCCATAAAAAAATCCCAATTTGTCTGTGGATGTCTTATTGATACATTCTACCTCCAGGAAGTATTTTTTAACAGTCAAGAATCCTCAATACACCAGGTTTCATAGGCTTAGCTTAAAGCAAAATGATCACAGGGATTTATAAGCAAATTTGTGGTGAGAGAAAAATTCTGAATTTTTATCTTCTTTTAACTCCACTTTTACTACAAGTCAAAAAGCTTTCCTCACACAAGCACTGCCAGATTCCTGCCGGCAAATTGAACAGCCAAAGGACACAGCAAATCATTTTCTTTTGCAGTAAAGGGACAGTAGTCCTCTCATCAAGTATTAGGATTGTGGTTAGTTTGCATATATTCATCATTCGGTGACCATGGTGACTAAAAGTGACAGCTGGTGCCCTGCTGAAGTTAATGAACATTTTGTAATTATTTCCCACTGTTGGGTTTAATATTGTGAGTTACATTCATGGTATTTTGAAAGAAGAAGTGTGACTTCTTCTTCTTTCGCTTTTTGTCTTTCTGTGATGTGATAAAAATTTAAATAAACAAAGAACTTTGTATACTTGGTGACAATAACTTTAAATGCATCTGCTACACTTACTGACAAATACACAATCCCTCCCACTTAGGTTTACTCAACTGCTTAACATGAAGAGAGCCCTCTAGTGAAGGTTTGATTAATGCCTGATTCAGTGAAGCTTGTTTATCTCATTTAATACATACACCCAAAAATGTGTGTTCCACCACTAAATGAAAACTTCTTTCCTTCCCTTTGCATGCAAACTCTTTAATTAAAGAAAGTCATTATGACTGCTTCAGAATATATGAAAATATTGGCAGAGCAGGTTACACATGTCCCTTAATGCAGGCTTTACAAGTCCTCATAGTGCTGTCCAACGAAAAACTTTGAAAGCTTCTAGGATGGAAGAAAGAGGTGAACATTTGAATTTTTTTATTTGTTACCTTTATCCATGATGGTTCGGAAAAGCTGTGTTGACTCCTTTTTCTTGGATATGGTGTTATTCAGCATAAATTTCACCTTTTCATCCTGAAGTTGAAAACGGCCAATGCGAGCTGGCAAGACAGAAAGATAACATGAACAGAAATAAGATTTGAAACAACATCTAAACTTGAGCAAGTTGTTAATAAAACCTACCATATGTCTGACAGTGCATAATGAAAATCTAGTTTATAAACATGAAAAGAATGTTTCTGTAAATGTGAAAAGAGTACGTTTGACGTCTGAATTTATCCATCCTTCACGGAAAACCAATTATATCAAATGTGCACATTACGACTAAATGAATCCAAAATGTGAAATATTTCTGTTAACAATAAGACATAAAGAGGCAGCTAAATTTATCAATAAAAATCCCTTGAGCTTATGAGTATGTGTATTTAGATCAATTAAGCAGTTATTGCTTAAATTACACAGATTCTGAGGAAGGGGTTTATAAAACAAATATCGCCTGCTTTGTCTCATGATTCTTGCGGTCAGCATGATGTCACTACAAATATTTAACATGCAGCAAAGGGGCAAATAAACCCTTCATGCTATTCATAATGTAGGCCTATAGAAGCTTGTGGATGTCCTACAGTGAGAATGTAGTAAACTAGCCTCCTGGAGGTAATCCATGGAGCATTCTGCTTTCCTGAGGTGAAAATAGCAACAGAATGCTCCACTGGATCACTGGGAGGCTAGTCTTACTATATCACAAGATAATGCAGCCAATATTTGTGAACTACATAAGAGTAACATCATCACATTAATGAATATCCTCTACATCAAAATACTTTTGGCTTTAAAATTTGAAATACTTTCATACTAGGGTACTGTCAACACTGGTTGGTAAAAGTTTCAAAATGATGACATCACCTTCCTGGAAATTAGTGGTTGAAATTTTAAGATGATCACTTTCCAATACCTTCATTATTTAATATGCATCAAAATGTTATCTTGCATATAAATGAGGTACCAACTAGATTACCTGACAGACATCAAAGCTCTGTGATGTCATCAAATCAAAAGTTAGTTTTCCCATATCACCTTGTGTTCATAAAATGAAGGCCTACATAGTTCGTCATTGATCAGCAATATAATTTCACACAAAACATAAATGAGTCATTGCAGAAATATTAAAGGGCTGTGTAACACTGTGATCTGAATATTGACAAAAATATAATTATACAATCAGAGCACTGATTGTCTAATTATATTTTTGTCAATGAGTGATTGTATTCCCCTGCAATTTTTGAGCATGTATACATTTTGATCGCTCTTCGATATTGCATCAGTTTATATGGGTAGACCCTGTGTGTGTTATGGGGACGTTTTTGTTAGGCAAATTAGGACAAAGCTGTATTTTTCTGTCCCTGCAGAATTGTATAATGACTAGCATACTTCCCAAAAACTATGGAAAAAGTATGCATGCACTTGAGTGTACTAGTGCATGTGTTATGATCAATTAACAAGATTGATGGGGGGTCAACTGTCAAGTTAGAGACTGACCAAGAGGCAACACACAGAATTATACCATGAATTTATAGGCAGAGACTATTCTCCTTTTCCTCTTGATTTTTGGAACAGCAAGGGTTTATTAAGGTCTCAGCAACCTAAGCCCTTCATGGAACTAATTAATTGACTCAGTGAAGGTGCCTCTCTGTACACCCACGGGACTTTGAGTGGGTGTGTCAATATCTCTGACATTTACCTAAGGGGTTAATGTCTGTCCAAGTACAAGCCCTCACTACGTCACTGTGATTAATCTGGCATTATCTGCGCCTGCAAAAACCTATCAAGAGTGAAATTAAACAAGCCTCTGGTCTTGAGATTGGAAAAAAGCTGTCACAGAGTCAGAAGAAAGGAAAGAGATACATCCATGTATAATGTCACGAAAGCAATAAAATATTTGAAAAATCAATTCTTGATGGTTGGAGGGATGCTGATGAAAAGTTAATAACACATTGTTTGAACTTTCCTGTTTGTACAGCTGTGTCATCTGATTCCTTTGGACTTTTTAAATGGAGAATTTGAAATATATTCCGCCTACATGAATTCTTGAATAATTGATAAAAAAACAACCAAGAAACTGAAACTAAGGTAATAAAAGGCTGTTGTCAAAAAGGAAGTGGTAAGGAATATTAAAGCAGATTGCAGAGTTTCTACTTGAAGCTCAAGAGACCTGTGTGAGCAGTGTTTAAGACCCCTTGTTGTAAAGAGGAGTTCACAATATGGTCAGCTGTCAGAACTGGCAGTTCATTTAAAAAAAGTTGAGTCTCCTCCTGGCCAAATGATAGGAAATGTAACAGAAGGTAATGTAATCATCATGAAATCATCATCTGACGATGGATCTTTGGAGGCACAGACTAGGTTCAGAACTAAACAGCACTGTGAAAAACTGTCAGGTGTCATCATAATGAAAGATATGCCTCAAAACAGGGAATCATGTACCACTTCTCCTTTGCAAAACAACCAACAGCTTTCCTTACAGTGTTTGCACAAAAAATCCATACATGACGGTATATTTTGGACTTCCGATGGTCCCCTATCTCTCCAATTGTATAAAGTTTATACAATCCCTGAATAATTCTTCACCACTGATTGATGGGTTATCAATCACATATCACTAAATTATTCATTACATTCATGAGGCAGAGTAAGTTGAAACAGAACATTCAATATGTCATCAAACGATACTATTCTTTCCGTTGCATGAAAATGAAGTATTTATGATTTGTAAAATGAGCAATGTCTTTTGTCTTGAGAAATAAGTTTTTGATGGCATAGAAGTGAAGATTTGACATTTAACAAAGAAACACACAAAACCTTGAATCAAGCAGCCTCACAATGTGGTTTTTATGTATGAGTCACAGTATGACATCACCATCAACAAAACAATTATATTTGTCCACAAACATCCAAATCAATAGGTACTCTGGTTTTTATTTAGTCACACCGATTCAAAGCAGCGCCTTCAAAGTACGCTTAAGTAATGTAGGATAACACCCTTGAGATAACCACGCAAGTGCAAACACAATTAAGTGGGAAAAGCAATTACGTACCAGAAAAGCTAATACTGCATGATGACATCTTACCCAATATCTGTATGAGATGTGGGCAGATTCCCTACGAGATGTGAAATATCTCAGGACTTCTAAATATATTACAATCCCAACACCACAAGGAGACACAGGACCTCATCTTAGTTAATTTGCTTTTAAGGGCTTATGTGTACACTGACAAATTACAGAGACTATTTCAACACAGCATGTGACGTTTTATTTAGTACTAGGCGTCAACTGGACAAAAGGTGGGGGTGTTCAAAAGCATAAGTAATTGCTGACCTGACTAGACTTTTAGGGGTTCATAAATACAGAATTATGAGGCAATAAGAGTAACTAGTCCACAGAATTCTGTCTCCAGGAAGAAAATGACAGTGCACTCTCAGTAAACAAAGCTGGCTTTTACCAAACACTTCCTTTCATTAAGTGGTAATATGATCAACTTTTATTTGAAACAGGGATCTCTTGTGATTGCATGTAGTGCACTGTGTAGATCTTCAAACTGTGTGCATATATACACACCATGGGTCCTCTGAAGAATTTCTCTGAGTGTAATGCAGGGCAACACTTTGGCAAGGCTATGAAAATTGGAAGCCTTTTTTACTAGGTGAGTCTTGTACTTTTGATTTGTAAATAATGATAATGTATGTGTATGTAAGCCCACTTTCAGTTTTAGCATCTCTCATCGCACCTCTTTCCTTTACATTCAGTTTTAGCAT